CCCCTGCCCCCCGCCAGAGCCCATTGGTGGACTTTTACCAAACCAAGGCAGCCATGGGAGGCTCTTTAACCTTGAACGTGCCCGCAGCTCTGCCTTTAACCTCTGCCCGGCTTCTCCCCAGACTTCTTTTCTCTTGCACGTTGTCAGTTTTCATTAACAAAAATAAAAGCAGTGACAATGATGGCTAGCATTTATTGTGCGCTTATTAATTGTGTTCTGGGTCTGTTCAAGGAGCTTTACTGCTTTGATTCATCTTCGGGGCCATCCAACGGGTAGGCTCGATATCACCCCCGTTTTACAGCCGAGCTATGGAAAGGTGGAGGGCACGTGAGGTCCCACGGCCGTGGGCGGCCCCGGAGCTGGCTAACCCCGTGCACCAGCTCCCCTGGTGCCTCCTGCAGGCATCTTTGCAGCTGTCCTGACCGCCCCCAACCCCCCGCCCCAGCTGACCTCTGTCATCACCCAGGAACCTGGGCTTTGAACACACAGAAATGGCTCTTCCCAAGCCTGGGGTTCTCCTGCCCCCACTCCCCAGACCAGGATCCCCTGGGAGCCCAGAGCCTGGATCTGATTCATCTGGTGCCCTCACAGAGGTGGTCACAGGGACCTCTGGCATCCCGCTTGGCACCCTGGACATACTCATGCGGACGCTCCCTTATGGGGCACTTACGGTTGTTAGGGGCGATGCGCAACCACCCGGCAAAGTTAGTACCGGTGCCTTCCCTGTGCCTCGCTCTGTGTTAGGGGCTGCGGGCTTCAGGGCCAAGCGTCACAGACAAAAACCTTTGTCCTCTTGGAGCTTGTGTTCTCGTGGGGGAAGCATACAATGAACAAGATAAATATAATATAGAGCATTTAGTGATGCATGTTAAGGAGAGAAAAATAAAGCAGGGCAGCGAGATGGGGAGTGTTTAGGAGGAGGTTGAAAATTTTGATGAGTCAGGAACCTGTCAGCCTTCTCGGAGAGGGTGATGTTTAAGGGAGTGAGGGAGCGAGCTGTGCTGTTTCTTGGGGGAAGGGGAAGAGCGTTCTAGGTGGTGCAAAGGTCCTGTGGCAGGAACTGGCTGGGCACCCGTAAGCAACAAGGAGGCCCCTGTGCATGGAGTAAGGTGAATGGACGGGAAAATAGGTCAGAGTTACTGGAGCCAAGAGAGGCAGATGGAGGAAAGAAAGAGGCTGGTGGGAGTTTTCGAGGAGGAGGCACAGAGAGGGTTGGGAGGGGCAGCAACCTTGCCCTCTGCTGAGGGGAGGGACAGCAGGAGAGGACCTCGCTTCTTGTAGCTAAAAACAGTCTTTTTTAAAAAAAATAAAATTATTTTTTATTGTGTTCAATTTGTCAACATATAGAATAACACCCAGTGCTCATCCTGTCAAGTGCCCACCTCAGTGTCCGTCACCCAGTCACCCCCATCCCCCGCCCACCTCCCCTTCCACCACCCCTAGTTCGTTTCCCAGAGTTAGGAGTCTTTCAAGAACAGTCTTTTTTTTTTTTAAATTATTTATTTATTCACGAGAGACCCAGAGAGAGAGAGGGGCAGAGACACAGGCAGAGGGAGAAGCAGGCTCCATGCAGGGAGCCCAACATGGGACTCGATCCCGGGTCTCCAGGATCACGCCCTGGGCTGAAGGCAGATGCTAAACCTCTGAGCCAGCCAGGGATCCACTAGAAACAGTCTTGAGTAGGGGTTTGGCTCCGTGTAGACCCAAATGCAGCACAGGATCTCTGTGCCCCGACCCCCATGGGAAGGCCCCACCGCCGGCCTGCAGGGGCACCATCCTTCTCCCGGGGGTGCTCTGCCCACCGCACCTGGCGCCGCAGGCCTCAGGGGACACTTGGTCCAGCATCAGGCTCACCAGGGGCCTCCCAGCCACTGCCCCCCGGGCCCCTGAGGTCCCGCCTCTGGGCACGGCCTGCCCCAGAGGGCACAGCTGTGCCCCCGCAATAGTGGGAGGCCGGGCGTCTGGAGAGGCTGGCAGGCCTCAGGAGGTGGGGAGCCGGGGGGTCCGGGGGAGGAGGCGAGGTGGCCTTGCCAGGAGTCCAGGGCGGCCGACAGAGGTGATGCCCGTGGGGTGACCCGGGCCCTCCGCTCGCACCGTAGGTAAAACATACCCAACCAACCTCCCCTGTAGATCTGCTGCCTGGAATTTTCACTACTCCGTCTCATTTCCAGTCATTAGGTTTTAGTCCAGCTTGGAGTCCCGACGGCCGTGTAATCATGCCTGAGCTCTGGGGAGCGTGCACCCCAGGGAGGACTCACACCCGGGCCTGTCAGGGTGACAGCTCGAGCCTGACCATCTGGCCCCCGAGTGGTCACCGGTGGGGTGTTCCTACTCACCTCCTTGGCCTCAGAAAGTGGGGGGGGGGTGCGGGGGAAGGAGATCGCACTAACCGAGCACCTGCCGCGTGCGGGGAACTTGACACACGTCATCTTGAATCCTCACACGAGTCCACAGAGTGGGGACTAGTGTCTCCATCTTAGAGAATAGGACGGAGGCTCGGAGAGGGGAAGTTACTTGTCCAAGGCTCCGCAGCTCAACTGGTTTGTACCCGGATAGCCAGGCTCTGAGCCCGGGGTTACGGGCTTCGGGTCTATGGCTTTCGCTGCCTCCCAGCTTCATGGGTGGAGGGCACCACACAGAAACTAGCACAGCGCAGCCTCTTCCGGGAAGCATCCCTTGGTTGCCAGCTGGAGTCAAATCCCTCTATCATCTGTTCCTTTGTATGAACTTTGAAAGACGTTGGGTGCTTTTATCGATATCCAGTGGCCCTTCCATGGCCCTCATGTGCTCCTTGGCCTTTTGGCTCACAGCCCTTGGCTCACCTATAATTATACGTCCAGTTCTGCGCTTGTCAGGTTATTGTCTTTCTTCCCTTTTATTTTTTTTATAAGATTTTATTTATTTATTCATGAGAGACACACAGAGAGAGGCAGAGACACAGGCAGAGGGAGAAGCAGACTCCATGCAGGGAGCCTGATGTGGGACTTGATCCTCAGACTCCAGGATCATGCCCTGGGCCAAAGGCAGGTGCGAAACCCCTGAGCCACCCAGGGATCCCTTCCCTTTTAAAAATATAAGCTCCACGAGGGTAGAGCCGCACTTGCTCGGCTCACCACTGCATTTCCAGCATCGGGCTCAGTCTTCAGCAGGTAACAGGTGATCAGTAATGAATTTTTCATTGAATGGATGAATGAAATAATACAGGAGCAAAGCCCAGGGTGGGGAAGGAGATGTCAGCCTATCAACGTGTCCACTATGCAGGTCCGTTAGAGCCCCAAAGCCCAGCAGAGGTCTGCATGGGCAGGGAAGGTTCTAGAGTCTCATGCCCAGGCCTCGACTCATATCAGTTGCAGCTCCTTGAGCCTCAGACCCAGCTCAACATCCAACCCCAGCCACAGCCCCTCACCCACCTCCGACTCTGATCTCAGCTCCAGTTAGAACACACATCTAACCCCGACCTCAGCCTCACTCACCACATCTCAGCCCCGTCCTAAATCGGATCCCAGCCCAAACTTCAACCACAGCCTCACCCCGGCATTTCACCTTAGTCCAGCTCCAACCTCAACGTCAAGATCAGCAGCCTTTGGGGGAGCAGCGGCTCCTTCTTGCCCACGGGGCGGGGAGCAGCCACGATCACCAGATGGTGGCTGTCCTGGAGGCTGCCGTCCTTTGCCCTCCTCAGAGAGGCTGCAGTCCTGTTGGCTCCTTGTGGGGACTCGGTAATAATTTTCCCATTGCTGTGTCGTGGTTAGAGTTTGCAAACCTCATCCACGTTTGTCAGCCCACCCGCTCTCCTAGCAGCTTGACAAGTGTGCGTTTCTTTATGTTCTATGGGAGGAGGTGGAGGTTATTAAATGCTTTAGCTGGTTTGTGGCAAAGGGGGTGCTATAACCCAGCTCTTCTGACTCTGAGTTCCAAGCTGTCCCTAGTTCTCCTTGACCCGCTGGGAAGATGAGAAGGGGCTCTTGGTTCTGGGGGGCAGGGGGGCATATGTGTGTGTGTGTGTGTGTGTGTTGTGTGTGTGTGTAAGACCAGGAGCACCCTGGGGAGGCCTCCACTCAGGGATATGATGGAAGCAAAGCAATCTTAGTCTTTCTCCCCCTGAGCTCAGGGGGAGACTTGAAAGGCGAGAAGGTGAAGAATGTTGAGGATGCCCAAGAGTGTGGATGGGGTTGAGGGGTGTTGGGTTAGGGTCCTGGCAGGGAGCGGAATTCAGTGCGAAGGGTTTAGGTGTAGCGGCTGTGACGGGCGGGTTACTTCCAAGGTGCGGGCGGAGTTCAGGAAGCAACAGGGAATGGCGAGGCCCCAGAGGCTGGCAGTGGTCGGAAGCCCTCACCACCTTTAGGGCCGATGGCGCAAGGTGGGCGAGATGGCCTGTTGCAGCCCGCCAAGGGCCGGTGCTGGGGAGGACAGATGCCTGGTGCAGACTGTAGTCATGGAGAAACGTAGCTGCTGCTAAAAATGTTGCCCAGGAGAGAGGGAGCGGGGAAGGAATCCCTGCCCTCCTCTCCCGCTCCTTGTGATCTCTGGCAGTGCCTCTCGCCAGCTGAACCCCACCCAGGGGCGCCCAGGCCACGCAGCCTGCCGGGGTCAGCCTCCCAGGGCGCGAAGCGGGGCCAACAAGGGCAGGGATGGAATCTGGAGCAGGGGATCAAATGGAGAATAAACAGCACCAGGAGCGAGAGAGAGCCCAAGGAGCAGGTCGTCAAGGAGAGACAGACAGACAAAGAGAAACTGAGCGAGGTGGAATGTGTGTGAGAGAGGGAGTGAGAAAGGGCTCAGCCTGTTTGTCTGGGCAGGTCTGCTGAACCCAAATCCGGCTCATCTGCGTCTCCTCAAATAAACTTCTGGGAAGTGAATGCCTGAAGCTGGCAGAGTGCAGAGAAGTCAGCAAATATGTGTGCAGAGAATTCTAAGCCTTCTGTTCCCAGCTCCTGGGAAGAGCAGCAGAGCCTCGGGTGGGCGCCCCCCCCCCCCGCACCCCGGTGCCCTGCCCTGGTGCTCTGATCCTGGGAATGGCTTCCACCCCGGACGCATGAAAACAAGGAGAGAAATCTCTTGCCCAGTGGGTCGGGGGTCCAGAGAAATACAAGTAACACCGAGCGGTGAAGCTAATTTGTGAGGTTTACGCGAGCCCTCCTCACACGCAAGATTGGATGGCACGCACCCTCCTCACACCTCCGTGAGGCACGCTTGGCTGGGGTTGTTGTTGCATTTTTATGGGCAAGGGAACTGAGGCCAATAGGAAAGGTGCTTTCGCAAGGCTGTGTTATGAGTCAGCGGTGGGCGACTGATGAGACCCCGAATGAGCCTGGACTCTGACCTCACACTGGCCCTGAACCTGGCCCAGCGCTCACCCCTGAGCATAGCCTCTGACTGAGCCTCACGCTGTCTGGCCCAGGAGGTCCCAGGGGCCCAGAGTCCCCTTGACTGTTTTCATACTAATTTTGCTATGGACGGACTCCTGGGATTTTCCAAGGCTTCGAGTTTTTCCAAGAGAAACTTTTACAAAACAAAACAAAACAAAAAAAACAAACCACTACTATTTATGAAACACAGATTCTGTTACTGGGTACCACGCTAAGCACTTTGCATGAGTTATCTCATTTAATGCCCTCAACAATGGATGATTTCGGTACTATTGTTATCCTCACTCTTTACGTGAAGAATCTGGGGCTCTGAGAGGTTCAGCGGCTTTTCAGCATCCCACAGCTAGTACGCGGTATAGCTAGGATCCAAACACAAGGATAGCTCGGGTTAGAGAGATTGGAGAAGGTCATCCTTGCACCCCTGGGGAAGGACAGGGGGTCCAGAGGGCCTGTGGGTCACAGAAGCCCAGGACAGCCTTGCCCAGGACAAAATATCTGTAGTCATTACACAACTGGGCACAGTCCACAAGGTATGGACGTGTGTACCCGCCAGGGTTCTCCAGAGAAGGAGAACAATATGATATATATACATAGGTGTACGGAAAAAAAAGATTTATTAGGAGGCTGGGCTCACGCAGTTAGGGGAGCTGAGAAGACCTGCAGACTGGAAGCCCAGGAAACCTGTGGAGTCGTTCCAGTCCAGTCCCAGAAGCCTGAGAAGCAGCAGAGCCGATGATGCAAGTCCCAGTCCAAGTCTGAAGGCCCGAGCATCGGAAGCACAGATGTCTGAGGGCAGGAGAAGATGGGTGTCTCAGCTCACCAGAGCAAATTTGCCCTTCCTCTGCCTTTTTGTTCCTTTCAGACCCTCCTTGGGGCTAGGTGGTGCCCCCCAACCCCACTGCCCCCAGTAGTGATCTTCTTTTCTCTGCCAATTCAAATGCTGGTTTCTTCTGGGAATGCCCTCAGAGACACATCTAGAAATACTGTTTCGCCGGCTCTCTGGGCATCCCTTAGCCCGGTCAAGCTGACACAGAAGACCGACCATCCCAACGTGCTACACACGCGTGAGAGATAGATGTCCGCCTTCTAAGAGGAGGTGCTGGATGTGTGTCAGGAGCCTTTCTACCCGCCTTTGCAGTGTGGTGCACAGAGCCAGGCAGGGCAATGGCCCCATTAAAGGCCCGGCTCCAACTGTGGGGAGAAGAGAGAAGCAAAGAGACACTTTCGGGGGGATTCCAGACCAGGCCTGAACCCCCCCAGGGAGAGCCCGGGTCTTCTGCAGCCATCTGTTCCTCCAGGCTACCCTTTCCTGGGTCTCCCTGTACATCAGTAACTCCCCTCCTGTGTCCTGCCCTCTAGGGATTCCCAGGAAGGAGGAGAAGGGGACTCAGAATTCTGACCTTTTACAGCACGAGAGGTAGAGACGCTGAGCCAGGAGATGCGGCATCTTTATGGTCATGGGCGGGTTCCTCAGCCTCTCTGGCCTGTTTTCTCTTATGCAGAGGGAAGCAGTGTGCCTCATTGATGCCCAGGATCCCGTCACACTGGTTTCCCCATGGTCCTCCAGCCCAGAGCCCTGCAACATCTCCTCCTCCTCCTCCTCCTCCTCCTTGTCCTCCTCATCCCCCTCTTCCTCCTCCCCTCCTCCCCCTCCCCCTCCTCCTGCCCCCCCCTCGTCGTCTCTCTCCTCCCGCCCCCCTCCTCATCGTCCCCCTCCTCCTCCCCCTCCCTTCTCCAGCCTCTGGGCAGAGACTCTGGCCATGGTGCTGAAGGCGGCCATGGCGTCTACAGGGGCCCGGAGGTGTGCAGGTGAGCCACGCACCCACCCGGGATTGGTGAGGGCAGAGGAGAACTGCCCTAATTGAGCACCTGCTACGGACCAGCCTCTCTCTACTCTTTCCTTTACCTGCGCTGTTGCGCTGACTGATCACAGTATCTCTCGGAGGAAGAGATTATCCTGGGGAAACTGAGTTTCAGGAGCCGTGGGGCCCCACACCTTCCAGGAAGCAGAGAGCTGCTCTCTTGACTTCGGGTTTCAAGCAGTCCTGGTTCCCAGAGATGGTCCCGGGACAATTAAGGGCAGCTGAAAAAAACAGTGACACGCAGAAATGGTTGATAAAACTGTGAAGGAACGTCTGTTGGCATTGGTTCTGAGCCCGCGGCCAGAGATGAATGATTGAAACACCAGGCTTGTTAAAGCGAGAGCACGTTTGATTTCTCTCCCCTGCACTGCATGCGATTTCGCTGGAGGGAAGTTAGCAATCAGCTAATTGACATTGAATTAACCATGAAACTCAGCCCGTGCCTTCCCTCTGAAGCGCTCTCCAGCAAGACTTTATCAAGGCTTTGAATTATTGATTATTACTTATAGCTCTGATGGGGTGATTTACTTTTATTTGTTTTCACGTTGGGTGTCCTTCATAAGTGTCCCTGAGAGCAGGAGGAGGCACCCAGACGGCCCAGCTTCTCACCAGAAGAGCAGTGGGGAGGAGTCCGGGGACAACAGGTCTGGACAGTCCGTCCTCTGCCCCCGAGAAATGAGCTGGTATTCGTTAAACCCTGGGAATTTTGGGCTTTGATTTTGGTGCTGTTCTTGTAGCAAAGCCTCGCCTAACCGAACAGGGACTCGGAGGGCTGACGTCCTTCCTGATTCCTCGTGAGACTAAGCTTAGAGTCTGAATGAGCTGTGCTCCCTACCCCTGCCATCTAACCTCCATCTGTAGGGACGTCTGGGTGGCTCAGCGGTTGAGGGTCTGCCTTTGGCTCAGGATGTGACCCAGGGGTCCTGGGATCGAGTCCCGCATTGGACTCCCCGTGGGTAGCCCGTATCTCTGCCTCTCTCTCTGTCTCTCTCTCTCTGTGTCTCTAATGAATAAATAAATAAAATCTTAAAAAAAAAAAAGAATGGGAAACTAGATAGCTGAGGCCTCTTCTCTTCCAGGCCAAACATCTTTTCAACTCTTCCTCACAAGACTAGATTTCAAGCCCCTGACTTTGATTTGGCAAACCTTCCTCCCCGCTCTCTCCGCCCCACCCTGTGTCTGGAGTTGGGGGGGGGTGTCTCTGAACATACAACACCCAGAACCGGAAGTAGCACCCTAGATACGGCTTGACCGAGGTAGCGTCCTCAGAGCCGTCAGCTTCTTCGGGTTGACGCGGCCCAACTGGGATGGATAGCCTCATCTCACGGCACAGATATGTATTCTTATTGAATTTGTGTGATCCTCCTGTTTCCCAATTTCCTTGTGGCCGGACAGAACCATGTGCCCAATCTGGCCAGTGGTCTGTGAGCTGTATGTGACATTCTGGGGTGAGACATTTGAGAGCCGGCGAGTGACATTCCAGCTCTTTCTCCTTGCCGCCGTGACCTGGAAGCCATGCGTTCCAGATGGTGTTGCTGTAAGACGCAGGCCAGCTTGGATCAGACGCCGCATTAGAGAGGGACACCACACGCGGGCAGATGCCATGTGAAGATGGTGCGCTATACGGGGGTCACCCCAGACAAATGTCACTGAGAAAACGTGCACCATGTTGAATGGCTAACGTTGCTGTGGGAGGAAAGAAGAGAGGGAGCTTCCATTTTTGAGCACCTACGATGCACAAGCTGTAGATGGCATCTAATTTGATTCTCGCAGGTCTCTGAGATAAGGGTTATTATTCCCATCTGAGAGATGAGGACACTGAGGCCCAGAAACTTCTTGAGCTGGGGACATGACCTCAAAGCCTGCCTACTTTTTATTTTTTTATTTATTTAATTTTTTAAAAAGGCGATTTATTTATTTTTTGAAAGATTATTTATTCATGAGAGACACAGAAGGAGAGAGAGGCAGAGACACAGGCAGAGGGAGAAGCGGGCTCCATGCAGGGAGCCCAATGCGGGACTCGATCCTGGGTCTTCAGGATCACGCCCCAGGCTGAAGGCGGTGCTAAACTGCTGAGCCACCGGGGCTGCCCCCCGCCTGCTTTTTAATCGCCATCTGACTCCCAAGACCTGTCCTCTGCTCAGTCTCCCACTGCCCTCTGCCTTGACAAACACACAATTTCCTTTCCTTCCTACAATATTTCAGAATCACGAGGCACGGTGGTAAGTGTAGAGCCTCAGTTTCCTCTGCTGAAATTGGGGATGATACTAGTACCTGCTTCTTAGGGTTGTTCTAAGGATTACTTGAGTTAACATACGTGGAACACTTAGCACAGAATTAACATTATTTACGTGTTGGTCGTTAATATAGTAATAGCCAATATAGATGTTTCCTGTGTTTCCTGTGTTTCCAAATAATGGTGCTAAGTGCTTGGTTCATTTTATTTGATCCTCAAAATGACCCTTGAGGCAGGTGTTAGTGTTCCCATTTTCAACTAGGGAAACTGAGGCTCCAGAGAACTCGGGTGAATTATCCAAGTTCACACGTATGGAGGCGGTGGCAGTGTAGGAACTCTGAACCTTGGTCATCTGAGGCTGTGCTGTGTGAGGTCAGAGCCAAGGAATAATAATAAGATACGAATAAGTTCTGTGTATTGAATGGTTATTACATGCCAGGCACAGCAGCCCTATATATTATCATCTTAATTTTCAGAACTGTCCTCTCTGAGGCAAGTCCTCTAATGAGCTGAATTTTTTACACAAGAGACAGGGGAAGCAGGAGTCGATAACTTGCTCAAGATCTTACAACCGGCAAACTGCAGTGGGGACTTGAACCCAAGTTGTTGACAGCTCCTGCGCTTACCCAAGTAATCACCTTAATAGCAGGGGAGATGTACGTGTTACATCCTCCGACTGTGATGTGATGCTTGGATTAAAACATTCATTATAACGCTGTATGTTAACTATCCTGGAATTAAAATAAAAACAAATCATCCGGAACACAAAAGGATCTGAGCAGTTTTCAGAGGAAGGGACACGTAAAGCTCCACCCCGTAAAGGGCCGCACAAAAGAAGTAGGTGTTGAATTGCTGGCCTTCCCATGGCTCTGGGTGGTGTGAGCAGGTCACAACCGGTTTGATTCAACTTCGTTGAGTCTTGGCCAGCTCCTCGCATTTCGAATTGGCCCCGACAGGTCTGGTTTGAGTCGAGCCAGCTTGGATCAGTTAGATCTAGTTGCAGCCAGTTGGGACCAGCCTGAACTGGATTGACCTAGTTTACGTCTGTATGTCTCTTCAGCCTCAGGGTTTTGGCTCCCTGTGGAGGTTCTTCTCCATGACTCCCCGGTCCAGTGGCTTTGGTTGAGACGCCACTGAGAGGGCAAGTGTAAGTAGATTGTTCTTAATCTTACCCCTGGGGGGGTCTGCAGCTGGAAGACCTCAGACGGTGCACCCTGGGGTGGCCAGCTCCATCAGAGCACCTCGTCATCCATCTCCCTTCTCTGTCCCTGGCGAATCGTCTTGCTGCAGGCACTTCCCTCACCCTTTCCTGTTCTGGAAGGTGGCTCTGCCCTCAGTTTCTTGCTGAGGGTACGAACCCAGGGAACCCTAGTGCACTGATCTAGAATGGTCTCCGAACACGGGCTTGTCTGGGATGGCGAGGCTCAGCGTGTGGGTGGTGCCCCCTGTAAGGGGTGACCCTCGAGTGTTGCTCGCTTCATTCCCACACCCAGAAACAGATGGGACTTGCACCACTACACTGGCAATTCAATTAAACATTGATGTGCGTGGGGGCTGGGGGAGGAAGGTGGGCAGAAAGGGCAGGTGCTGGCTAATGGGATGCCAGGTCACATTATCATCCTGCAGAAACCAGGCCCCCTTCAGAGAATAACGTGGGCTGGAGAGAATGAGTCCTGAATGGGCCTGGGGTCACGGCGTCCATGAGGGCTGGAGCCCCACCCTGAGGCTTGCTGCTCTGTTCCCAGCTGGACTGGGTAGTGATGGAGCTGCGGGACCCAGGGAGAGTCAGAAAACCAGCACCCGGGTTGCCCAGAGCTGGCAATACCCTGGATTGGCCACCTCCCCCTTCCCGGTCAGTCCCATGCCCAAGGCTGTGAGTATACTGGTTGGTGAACAGGGACGGCCACCCGGCTGGGAACAGCTTCCTCAGAGCTCGAAGGGACACCCATGGTCATATGGACATTCAGTAGCAGGCCAGCCCATGCTCCTTCCACAGGCCCGTGGCGTCCGTTCTGTGTATCTAGAGGATACAGAGAGCAGGGGAGAGAGAGGAGGGTCTCCGGCTCCAGGCCAGCGCCTTTTCTACCATGTGTTCTACCATGTGTTCTTCCCCCCCCCCCCCGCACTGAGGCAAACTACTGGAGAGAGCTAGTTCTCTGCTTTTCCAGGCCTACTTCTCTCCTCACCATCCTCCCATCCTGCTTCATCCACCTGCCACAAAGCAGTCCATGCTGGGGCTCTCGGACCCCCAGAGGATCCTCCCCCCTTTTTTTAAAAGACTTTATTTATTTATTCATGAGAGACACAGAGCGAGACAGAGAGAGGCAGAGACACAGGCAGAGGGAGAAGCAGGCTCCATGCGGGGAGCCCGACGTGGGACTTGATCCTGGGTCTCTGGGATCACAACCTGGGCCGAAGGTGGTGCTAAACTGCTGAGCCACCCGGGCTGCCCCAGAGGATCCTTCCTACCCCTCTGTGGGTCCCAGATCTTCAGGCCAAGAGGAGGGATGGGGCCACAAAGCAGAGGGGCGACGGGTCTATGCATGTCAATCAAATGGGGGATCTCAAGGGACTGGTCGGGGTCCAGTTTGTCCTAAGATCAAAGACTGACTGTCTCCAAGGGACCAACTGAATCCAGAAACATCTGTGTCCAGAGACAGACCGCTGTCCAAGCCTCGGGGTTGCTGTGCCCAGGGGTGGGGCAGGGCGGTGGGGACAACTGTGCCCCGGAAGCAGCCATATCTGGGGGCAGACCCTGCCCACGGAATGACAATGCCAAGGGACCCACAGTGCCCGAGGACCAACTGAGCCCAGAAACAACTGATCTCAGGGGAACAACTGCTCTTTGAGACCCTTGGAGGACTTTCTCTGTCTGGGTCTCATCTTTGCCCTGGGATGGACTTGGTCGACCATGACTGCCCGAGGGCTGACTGGCCCCACGGGCTACTCTTGCCCAGGGACCGATGACGCCAGAGAATCTCTGTGCCCAGGGACTGACTGTGTGTGGTCTCACTGTGCTCAAAGACTGTGTCCAGGGACCATCTATGTCCAGAGACTAACATTGCCCTGTGACCGACTGTGTTCAGGACAACTCTGCCGGGCAAACCAGCTGAGCCCAGGGACTGGCCCTGCCTAGGGCTGGACTGGGCGCGAGGATGGTCTGCATCTGGACGTCCAGGGCCCGCTGTGCCCAGAGACCATGATGGGGAGCAGAAACCTTTCTACCTGGAAAGACTCCTATGCCTGGCATACAGGCTGCCCAGCTGCATGGCACCATGCCTGGTGTGGGGGCCTCTGGCAGCAGCTTTTCTTCTGGGACCGTGGGAGGAAGGAGCCCACACCCTCAGCACAGGCAACCTCAGATCCCTCATTTTGGAGCCCAGTGAATAGACAAGGAGAACACAGAGCCAGTGAGGACCTATTATGCATCAGCACATGCTCCGTCCTTCCTTCCTATTATGTCATTTCATCCCCAGGACAACCCAGGAGGCAGTAGGTATGACCCTCATTTGCAGATGAGAAACTGAGGTCCGCAGATGTGAAAATTCTTTGCTGGTCTTCCTGACTCCGGAGCTCTTAGCCACGCGTCCCCACCCCCGCCCTGAGTGGAGGGAGAGATTGGGGCCTCCCCTGGCTTCCATAGGAGGAAACTGAGGAAGGACCAGGACCCGGGCATCTAGTCTGCACTTGGCAAACTGAACGCGCTCCTGGCAGTGGCCCTGACCTCTCAGGCAGGAGAAGGGCACTTGGCAGGCCCTGTAGGAAGGGCTTCCTGCGGGCTGCATTCCTGCTTGCTGTCCTGGAGGCAGGCAGGCCGGGGCGCAGAGGCCGTCTGCCTCACACAAGCCCCCTTTCATGATGCCCAACAAGGCTCCTTCTGAGCCCGGACTCGGCTGTGCAAACACGCACATCTGGGCTGCCGGCCGGAGCAGGGCAGCGGAACTCCCCCGCAGCTGGCCAGCTGCTCCTGACCTCTGCACAAAGGGAGCTGCGGCCCCGTGGGGGCTCCCAGGGAACTTGGGGCTCTGGAGGGTGCAGCCCGTCCGCACCCTCCACGGGCAGCCGTCCTCTCTGGCTGCCGCCTGCCATGTCCATCGGGGCTGGAACTCGCGGCTGACAGCATCTCCTGCTGAGGGCATCCTCTTCTCCCCACCCCGGGGCCCGCACCCCGGGGCCCACACTCAGCCAGGACGGGGAAAATAGCATGGAGGCTGCAGGCAGCCAGGGCCTTGGGTGGCTTCAGCGAAGCCTCTGCAGAGCCACCCCATCCTCGCGGAGCAACACAAATCAAATCACTACCAAACCCCATCGTTAACGAGAACTGGCTCTGACATCTGTGCCTTTCAGATTCTGGGCACTGTTTTGGGGTGCCTTATACATCTCTACTCATTTCATCCTTACAGCGACCTGTGGGGGTGCGACATGGTGATTATGCCGCTTGCATAGATTAGGCGGGTTGAGGCGCAGAGAGATTAGGTGACTTGCTCAGGGCCACACAGCTAGGAAGCAGCAGGGCCAGGGTTTGGACTCGGTGTGCATTCTTACCAGCGACACCCGTTTACTGACTACTTTAAGGGCAGTGACAGAGGGTTCAGGTGGGGAGCGGGGAAGTCTCTGGAGAGGGATGTAGGATCTGAGTTTGGGGAAGATCGCTTTGGGCAGAGGGCAGATCTGAGGGTCTGGCCTGGAGGCTGTCACAAGAGCATAAATGAGAGACGGTGGAGGCGGTGGCCTGGATTAGGTGCGAGGAGAAGAGGGCTCGGGAGAGATGGGGGCACCTGGAATGGTGGCACCTGGGGTGTGGGTGTGGCATGAGGATGCCACCTGTGTTTGGAGGCGAGCCAGCTCAAGCCTGGTACCTTCTTCACCTGCCTGGAGGGACCCCCTAGGCTCTCCTGCCTCCTTGGGGCGGGGGAAGGGGTGGTCTGTGAGGTGTGTGTGGGGCCTTCCATCGCTGGCGGGCTCTGGCTGCCGGGAGCACCCCTGAGGGGGCAGGGGGAGTGCTCAGTGGCCCCGTGGAGGAAGCGCCGCGGTGGGCGTCAAATGTGGACTTCAATCCTGGCCTCCTTCGGCAGAACTGTGGTTCTCTGGGCGCATCGCCCATGTCTCGGAACCTTAATTTCTTCCGAAATTGGGGGAATGGTGCCTCCCGAGCAGGGCTTGCGTGAGACAGGATGTGAAAGTAGCTGCAAATGGAGAAGCTGTGGAGCTACTTGTTGCAGCTGCTGAAGGCATCACTTGAGGCTCCCTTCACGTGACGGAGGACTCGGGAGGGCTCGGGGGGCCTAGACGCCGGGCTCCAAGACGTCCCAGACGCTGGACGTGCCCGCTGCTCGGGGACATGCAAGCCCACGGCGGGAGGAAGAAGGGCCAGGCCCAGCCCGCCAGGCAGGTGCAGAGACGGCTCCTGAGCCCGCCTGTGCAGCGGGGCTGGCTGCAAAGGGCATCCCCACTCATTCCAGCTCATTCTTTCATTAGCCAACGGTCAACGGCACATCCACTAAGTGGCCAACTGTGTCTGAGGGGCGGCCCCGTGGGGCTGGAGCAGCCAAGTCCTGGCTCCCCTGGTTCCCTTGATGGCAGGGGCGGTGGGCAGCGCGGAGCGAAGAAAATCAGCGAAGAGGGGCCGATGTAAAGAGAGTGATGTAAAGAGGGTGACGGGAGAGAGGGGGCTGCTCCGGGTGGGGTGGTCCTGGGGGATCCCCAGGATGGCGGCAGAAGAGGGGGCCTGGCTAGCTGAGGTGTCTGGGGGGAATGCAATGGCCTCAAGAGGTAGAGAGAAGTGGGTACTGCAGGCCCTCCCGGGGAGCGTGACCTTGACTCCAAGAGCCACGGGAAGCCTTTGAAAGGATTAGAGCAAGGCCAGGACATAGTCTGATGCACTGGTTTAAAAGGTTACTCCAGGTGTCTTGCAGAGAACCAGCTGAAAGGAGGAAAGAATCCTGATGGGCTCCGACTCCTGCCCCCAGAGGACCGCACCCCTGTCAGCTTAGGTGCTCCCTGCCCTCCACACCCCCTCCCTCTTCCCGACTGTGGGTTCCAGAGGCCCCCCTTCCCCGGGAGCACCAAGCCCCCGAGGCCGGGGACTGGCAGGCTGCCCCTGGCAGGCCGGGCTAGAAGCCCACAGGCGGGGACCCAAGTACAGGGACAGTGGGCGCAGGCACGGCGGCCCCGTGTGTTTCCACCCACCATGTGGGGCAGGCCCCCCGCCCCCACCCTGCATGGGGCTTTTGAATTAAAAAGTCTTAACTTTTTCTTTTAAATGGCAGCTCTGTGTACTGTACATGGTAATTAATACATTAGCATTTATGCAAAATACCATCACAGCCGGGCTGGTATGTCAGCTGCCTTCCTGAGCTGCAAAAATGTGAGCGCCCCAAGGTACCTCCGACAGGCCCCCCGCCCCTAGCAGACAGCTCCATTTGACCTGTGCCGGTTCCCGAACGTTCCCTAGCGCGTCTCTGTGATTGCCGGCCAGTGTGCGCGCTGCTTACGAGGGCCTGGGGGTGTGCACGTCCGTCCTCGTGTGGGCGCATCCCGTGCCCGCGCTCCTGTGAATGCACATGTGTGGCTCCCGAGGGCGTCTCCGTGTCTGAGTGTGCCTGTGTGCTGGTCGCACATGCACGGTCTTATATGTGTGCGCCTCTCTGGGCGCCGCGTCTGCGGGTGTTTTTGTGACCGGGTATGGGTGCGTGAATGCATGTATCTGTGCCTGTCTGTCTGTCCGGTGTCTGGGTACATGTCAGTGAGTGTCTGTGTGCACCCGTGTGGGTTATGCACGCACGGACTTGTGTGTGCACACGTCTGTGTGTTCATGTTCGTGCGTATGCACCAGTGGGCGCTGGTGTGTAGGTGCTTGTGCGTGGGTCATAGGCATGCCTGGGGGTCTGGGTATGTGCATCTGTGTGTCAGTAGGGCTGTGTGTGCCTCTGAGTATGTTTGGATCTACCCATGTGCATTCCTAACCATGTAGAAGTGTGTGCATGTGCGTGTGCGTGTGAGATGCCTGCTGGGAAGAGCAGCCCACTGACAACAGCTGGGGTCAAGCTGAGGCCCCACCGCTGACTGGCTCTGAGGCCTTGGCAAAGTCACACCACCTGCCTGCCCCTCACTTTCCTCGTCTGCCGGCTGGGACTAAGGAAACCCACCCTGCCCCAAACAACAATAACAAATATTCCCCCGCAGACAGGAGCTCACAGTGGGGGGGTGGGGGGTGAGCCCCTGAATAGGTGATGGCACAGGGTGCTGCAGGTAGCCTTGAGCAGGAGCTGGGGTGGGACGGGAGGTCGGGGTGGGGAAAGGGTCTCCGAGGAGGCGATTGTTGAGTGAATCTTGAAGGATGAGGAGGGGTTCGTGGATGAAGAAGCCCAGAGGGTGAGCTAGCCTGAGGGAGTGCAGACGCGGAGCCCTTTCTGACCCAGTGGAGACCCTGGAGACCAGCAGGTGCGAGCTGACAGGAGCTGGGGGCCTGGAGTAGACCATCCAGGGCCGTACCTGCCAGGGCACCGGGGAGCTAAGGAGGGCCTTTCAGGAGAGGGTGGGAGCAGAGCGTCTCTCTGGTTTCTGCAGGGAGAAAGGGCTAGAGCGAGAGGCGGTTCTGGAGGGAAGCCATGGGTGCCTGGCTGCAAGGGAGGACCCTGAGTCCAAGCAGTGGGGAAGACGGAGAGGGGAAGGGTCAGAGGCAGTTGCTGAGTCAGAATCAATAGTAGGCGGAAACCGAGCGGATGATGAATGAGGGGACGGAGGGGAGGAGCTGAGGTGCCACCTGGTCTGTGGCCCCCGTGATGGGATGGTTGGTGAGGGTGTCCCCCGGGACGGTGGTCACAGAAGGAGGAGGGACGGGGTTCTCTCTGGAGGGAGGGTGGTGAGTTTTGGATGTCTTGAGGCTGCACCGCCTGTGAGATAGTATTCATTAATTCATTTGTTCATACGCTCACTAGGTATCAGGTGTTTGAGAGACCAAGATGAACAGGACAGAAGAGGGTCGTAGGCAGGGGTAAAATCAGGTGCGCAGGCCCAGCGGGAGGACAGGTGGAGTCTGGGAAGAATGATAAAAGGCTTAGGAAGGCAGGAGAACACAGCAGAGGGGAGAGAGCGGGCCTGCCCTTGCAGGGGCCTGTAGGTGGGTGAGCGGGGTGGGCAGGTGAGATGTTTGGGGCCGGCGGAGGGGGGGGGCTGGGGGGTGGGGAGGCACTGACAGTTGGGGGGTTTGCATTTTAGGAAACTTTCTTTTCTCCTCCCGCCCCCGCCCATGGCCTGCTGAGGGCCCCCTCATCTTCGGATTTGTGAAGCGGGGCTGATGCTCCGTGCCTTTAGCATGCAGTTGAAAATAGGCTGAGGCCGGACTCTGGTAATATGTTCCTGCCCATAAGGAACTTCCAGAAACACACGCTGGGACGTGTAGTGGATGCCACGAGAGGGGCCAGTATGCAGGAGGTAGTCAATAATGAATATTTGTTGAATTAAGTGTCAGTTGGATGAAATAGTGCGGGGGTGGGGGGTGGGGGTGTCTGGGGCGTGGAGGGAGGCGTGGACCCAAGGGCTGTGCCTGGGAGCAGGGGCGGATTAGAGAAGACTTCCTAGGTGGGTGACGCCCAAGTCCTGGAGGATGAGCAGAATTTATTCAGGGGAAGTGGGGAGGGAGCAGCAGGGGCCAAGGTGTGGAGGTCGGACAGCAGGTGCAGGGGCGGGGTGGGGGGGAACCCGATGTCATTCAGTGTGGCTGGAGCACAGTGTGCAGGGGGAGGGCTGGCGGTGGCTGTGGTTGGAGTGCTACTGAGGCCATATCACAAAAGATCTTGGGCGTCAGGCTAAGGAGCTTAGATCCACCCCACCTCCCGTCACCCAGTAGGCAGCGTGGAGCCATAGGGGCCTTATTAAGCAAAGGAATGGCTGGTGAGTAAATCTTGTAGAAATCATCCCGGGTACTGACTGAGGGAGGGCAGGGCTGAGGACAGGGAGCCAGTAATGGGTCTTCCGTGGCTTCGTTTGGGGGTAATGACCTCGCTAACCGTACCTCTCGGATCTATCTTAGGAACGGGGCACCAAGCCTTTTAAAAATGAAGGCAGGCACTGGGCGAGCAGCAGGAGCCCTCGTTTCCATCCTGCACCTGCCATTATCTTGCCCTGTGACCTTGACTTGGCCAAGTCAATTAGCTTCTGAGGGCTTTAGGTGGTTCTCAGGTCAGGGGACCCGCAGGAGGTGATCCAGGTAGGAAGGGAGGGGTGTTGGCAAGAGCTTTGTCTGGCTCACCTCCTGGAGGGAGAGTACCCGCAGGCACCGGAGGGCAGGTGTGGGGGAGTCCACCTTCCGTCCTCCTTGCCGCTCCTCCCCGGCAGGACGGTGAGGACAGAGACAAGGGCGAGCTCATGTATTTTCATGGCGCGGCCTCGACACTCAGCCCCACGGTCCCAGCTCGCGGAGGCCGGGGTGGGTGGGGGGGCTGCTCTGGGGTGGGCCCGCCCCGCCTGCAAGCAGACACTCTGCTATTGTTCAAAATGGAATTGGTCCCAGGAAGCTCGGAGCCTGTGAAAACCGCTATGAATTTTGCAAAACAGCTCTGAGGCGGTAAAGCATGTCAGAAGAATCAAATGTGGAGATCCCTATTTAGAAACCCCGCTCTGGACAGGCGTGGTGTCCCCCCGCGGCGGGGCCTGCGGGGTGTGCCCAGCCCACGCCACGGGGGTAGGAGGGGTGGGGGGAGGCGGCTCCTCGCCGGGGCCTCGGTCCCGTCCACCCAGCCTCGGATGGAGCCCCCCATGGCGAGGCCTCCCACCCCCCCCAACCTTGCTGCCCTGTACCTATACTCTCTTTTTCTTTCAAAAAAGCAGCTTTATCAGTTTTGCAGAAAAGGATGCATATGCTCGTTGCAAAAAAAAAAAAAATTCAGACAATATGGAAAAGTTCAAAGAAAAATGTAAAAATCACCTCAGATTTCACCATCCAGAGATAACCACATAACATTTTGGTGAACGTCCTTCCAGACTTCTCTCTGTGCATAAATATACACAAATAGATTCCACGTATGCAGTTCCACCCTGGGTGAGATCAGACGACACATGCTGTTCTGTCACCTGTTTCTTTCCCCCACTCAGCAATATGTCACGGACATCCTCGTATCCATACGCGTGGATCCACCTCTCGCTTTTAGGGCCTGCGTGATGGGTGTGGGGGTACCCCCCTTGACTGACCCAGGCCCCAGCTGGCGGTGATGTGTGTTTTTCCAACTGTTTTGCTCTTATAAATATCCCCGCAACGAGCTTCTACTGGCCTGTAGCTCTGTGATCATTCATTCATTCATTCATTCATTCATTCATTCATTCATTCATTCCTTCATGCCACAGATGTTACCGAGGGTATGCTCCACGCCAACCCGGGCTAGGGATTCAGAGGGCGAGTAAAAAAGCGTGGTCAGTCCTTGCTTTTGCACAGTTTTTACGAGGTAGCGCCAGGAGATGGGACATCCAGCCCCTGTCAGCCGGGGAAGACAGCAGTTTTTAATTTAAAAATTTTTTTTTTTTTTGCCACGCGCTTCTGTCTTCAGCACTTACACAAATAATGATCTGATCAGCACGTGATGCGGAGTACAAAGGAAAAAAAAAGTGCTCGAAGCATGAATGAAAAGTTCCAGCTGTGAGAGAGTAAG